TAGTAGGGAGCCAGAATGTTGAGTTAAATGGAGATATAAAGGAATTACTATTCCTGTTTCCTTCATATTTCTGAAGGTGAAACCGTTCTCTATCATTCTGTAAAATGTAATACTATTTTAAAAAATTTTAAATTTTTAGATGAAAGAGATTCAAGAGAAAGAGAGACAGAGAGAAAGAACTTTCATTCCCCAAATGACAGCAATGGCCAGAGCTGAGCTGATTGGAAGCCAGGAACCATGAGATTCTTCCAATCTCCTATGTGGGTGCAGAATTCCAAGGACTTGAGTCATTCTTTGCTGCTTTCCCAGGCCATAAGCAGGGAACTGGATTGGAAGTGGAGTAGCCAGAACTCAAACTGGCTACCATATGGGATACTGATGCTGTAGGCAGAGAGTTAGCCTACTGTGTCAACAGCACCAGTTCCTGTAATATTATAAATCATCCTACTTGGGAACGACAGTTTCAAGGGTATTTATTATCTAACCTAGGGATGGCAGTTTTGAAGACCTTTATTTGGTCTTTTCTACTAGAGTAGCTCTTGATCTGCAAACCAAGGATCCAATGTAAGAAGAATCTTACCAAATCCTAGATGTCTCCATCCCAATTATGTGGGGATTATGCATGGGGAAATGGCCACTGAGTGGGTCTGTGGATCAAGTGAACCCACCATGGAATGGACCTGAGCCAAGACTCTCCCAAGATCCATGACAACAAGGGGGATATGTTAGCTCTGAGAATATCAACATCAGCTTTCACTTGTATTCTCCAATCTTCACAACTTCAGGGCGTCCTCTCTTTGTTGTATGTTTACCCGAGTAAGTGGCTGTTGATCTCTTTGGAAAATTATTGGAGGAATACAGACTATGGTCTCTTCACATATTGCTGGTTCTTTTGCTGCGGAGACCCAGCTTATCTTTCATCCATTGAACTCTGGCCTTGAAGGTGAACACAACAATGTGCTTTTCTCCACTGGGGATTGGGCCCACCTTAGCCTACTGTTGATATCTTTGTTGTTGATCTTTTTCTGATTGTGAATATAATGCAGTATCTGTTTGGGCTCCTAGAAGCACCAAGTTCTGTCACTCATTTCTTATAGTAAGATCCTACAAGTCTCATTTTAATTTTGCTGCCTTTGTCTAAGAAGGCTAAGCATTGCCCTGTCCTCTACTATTCTAGAATTCTATCATCCGGATTGCTTTAGTTCTGGAGTAGCTCCCCTTGCTGCGAACCTCAATTGTAGCTTTTGAGGCTCTCAGTGGTGCTGGTGGCTCTATTGTCATTGAATTCCTTATGGACTTACTGAAGGGTTGTTCCTTGGAGCCTCCTGAAAAATACAGTTTGTTTTTGCATTTCTCTAGTCTTGTATAGGAAATCGGTGACTGAGTGTCCATCTCTTTGAGACTTTTGATTCCTTTCTCCATAATCTTTTATAACAGTTCCAGCAATACTATTTTTAAAAAGTCAATTAAAGAGAGACATTTTAATTGATCAAGAGTAGGATTAACATGAAGATAAAACAATCATGAATTTTTAAATTTCTAGTGACAGAGATCAAACTTAAATTGGATAGAGGCTATCCAATTTAATTCTTACTAATGTATTTCTATAATTAGATCAAACTGAGAATTCTTTAAACCAGGCATTAAAAATGAAATAGGACTACAAATTAAGTACATGAAACACTGATAGAAAAAAGAGGACATGGACCTGGACCAAAGAAAGGATGTTCTTGTGGCCTTGAGTGTTCTCTCTCAGGATAAAAATTGGCAACAAGAAGAACAATGTTGAGTATGATTATTGCATCATGACCTGATTTCATTGTGTCCCCACTTCAGGTACGTATGCCAAATGGGAAAATGCTCAATTTGAAAGGCAGAAGTCACTGATAGTCAAATGTGCTTCAAAGACATCCTCATCTCATTGATGAGCCACAAGAAACCCAGAAGTCAGTTAAAAACTCATAGTCTTCTCTGAATACAATGCAAAAATTGCTGAAAATCAGTACATAATTACATTAAATTTTATCGTTGGACTCTTCTTAATATTTCTGTTTTATGTAAGCTTCCAAGAACCATCTTTGCTTATTAGAACCATTTTCCTACATGTTTACCAGATGTTAAGTTCTGTGTCATGAAGAAAGTGTCCTTTTTATCACCTTTCCAGGGCTTCTTCAACAAAGCATTGTGATCTAAATGGCTTAAATCAGCCGAAGTCTATTCTATTGTAATTACGGAAGTTCAAAGTCAGGAAATTGGCAGGGCAATGCTCCTTCAGAAGGCCCTAAAGGAGGAGTCATCCTTGTCTCTTCTTGGCCTCTAGTGATTGTGGTAATCCTGGGCACTTTATTTTGTTGAGGCCTTACTCTAATTTCTGCCTCTGTTGTCACATTTTCGCTCCTGCCCTCTCCCATTTCTGGGTCTACAGATCCACATTCAGTTCTTCCTAAAAGAACGTCAGCCACTGGATTAGAGTTATTCAAATCCAATATGATCTCTTCTTAACTTGATTACATTTATAGAGAGCTGATTTTCAACTAAGATCACATTCATAGGTATTGGAGATTAGGACTTCAGCATATCCTTTTGGAGGACACAATTCAATTCCATATTGAGAACTTCTCCCTAATCTATCTTTCTTATCCCATCCTTCTGTGAATCCAGAATGTTCAGGATCCATTCCCAGGCATCCTTTCTTGCTTCCTACTGTAAACATTAGCCATGTCCTGCTCCTTTGGTGTAAAGCCTCGTCCACCTCTGGGAGGTTGGGCACTTTCCCAACATGATTCATGCCAAGGTTCAACTCTAGTTATTGACTTCACGGCCATAGGGGGAAAATGAGAGCAAATCCAGAGAATGGTCCAAAGCAATGAAGGTTCCATCTATCCCCCCAGAGTGAAGTCCTCCTTACTACTCAACTAGTGAGTAATCAATCCCCAGCATCTAATCTTTAGGGTCTACTTTCAAGATCTCCTATGGATCCCCTTACTTTAGAACACTGCTGAAGAGGTAAGCTTCAGGACCCCTAAGACTGTTTAGGAAAACACACAAGTGCCATCGCTGCCTGCCTCAAAGTTGTGATGATATTTATGATTTGTTCCAGAAATTCTGCCATGATAGCCACAGAGGCACCAGTTGCCTTGGCCATTACATTTGCTGCTTTTTGCATTGTCATTTTCCCTGCAGACTGTAGCATTTTTTGTCCCATCCTTCAGTGTTTCCATCCTACCCAGGGATCTCTGATTTGGTGGGATCCACCTCGCACGCCTGTACTATAGCTGCAAGAGAGCCAAGGCAAAGCAACTTTGTCTGCTGCTCAAACGAGACTCAAAAATCAAGAGAAGGTGAAAACATCAGACAGCCATGAATGATGATCATCTACTATATGCTTGCTATTAGTCTAATTTTAATTTTTCCACTTAGGATAGAGATGTGAGTTTGAATGTGTTTTTTTTTCTTTCTTCTTTGTTTTAATTTTAAGAAAAGCAGCATTGTATGTGTAATGTGATTTGACAACTGAGCTCTTGCAGGGGTGACCGTGGGGATAATGGGTACTGTAATAACCTGGGAGCCAGTTTACACACTGGTTGCCTATCCTTATGGTAGAAGAAAGGAAGTAGAAGGATACTGGCTATGTCTTGCCCTCATGTGCCTCCCAGGGTGGTTATTTATTGCACAGATCATTTCCCTTACTCCTCAAAGCAACCATGAGAAGCAGGGTTCATCCCCATTTTCCAGCTCGGGTGATCATTACAGACAGAATTCAAAAATGTCCCCCAATTTTTGTACCAAAACAAACATTTAAAAATTCCATTTCCCACAAACTGAAGTATCCTCATCCTTACCACAATAAGCGAGAGAATGGATTTTATAAATAAGCTGTAGGTTCTGCCCATGTTGTGCTCTAAATGTTGACCAGGTCACATAGGGAACAAAGCCAAGCGTTCGCTACAATTAGTGGGAACATCTGCATGTTCATAGTTCCATCAGTGCCTAAAGGCTACTTAGCATAATTTGTACATTGGGCATCCTGGGGCTTTCTGGGCAGTTGTGGAGGTGGACAGAGGCACACACAATCCCAGGGTGTAAAGCTCCAGCAGTCTGTGACCACAATTGTCCATTTTGGGAAGCAATGACAGATGTCACTCTGATATAAAGACCAAATGCAGTCAGAAACAGAAAGATCACTAATGAGATTAAGCAGCTGTTACAGATTATTCAAGTCTTCTGGTTTAGTAGAGTCTTCTTAAGAAAGCAGGGTTTTTATTTGTTTCTTCCTTTACTCTTAAAGTACTTTCCCACTACTTTTAAAAGATTTATTTGAAAGGTAGAGTTCCAGAGAGAGACAGAGGCAGAGAAAGAAAGATCTTCCAATTGCTGGTTCATTCCCCAAATGGCTGCAATAGTCAGAGCTAGGCCAGGTCGAAGCCAGGAGGCAGGAATTTCATTCATATCTCCCATAGGGGTGCAAAGGCCCAAGCACTTGAGGCATCTTCTGCTGCCTCCTAGTTGTGTTAGGAGGGAGCTGGATTAGAAGTGGAGCAATCAGGACTTGAACCAGTGTTCCTAAGGGATGCTAGCATTTCAAGCAGTGGCTTCACCCTTTACACCACAGCCATGGCCCCAATTCATTACTCTTTCAGCAGGAAATGCAGTGTAGCACATTATTAGAGAAAAATTCTGTAATGGCGCTTGTCTCCCATACCAGTTAACTTGGTTTCCTCACCTGTAAAATGGCACCATAATCTCTACCTGCCTCACGAACTAAGGAGATTTAACTCATTTAATGCTTACAGCAGTCTAGCAGAGTATCTGGAATGTATGTCGTTTTAGTCAACTATGACTGACTTTAATCACAGCAATGCTAACTTTCTAAAATGCAGATTGTATTTGGGTTTCCAATGCTGTTTTCTTGGTATTATTTTTTTCCTTTCACCCCATACACTTTTTCTCCTAATGCTGGAATTTTTTTTTTCTTTCTGTCTGTTCTTTTCACTATGTAGAAAACTTGATGGGACCAATGAGAAGGAAGATCACATTGAACTGAATGAAGAAGGAAGACCCGTGCAGGCCTCCAGGCCCAGGCCCCCGTTCTGTGACTGCCGCTGTTGTGGCATCCCTAAGCGTTACATCATCGCCATCATGAGTGGGCTGGGATTCTGCATCTCCTTTGGGATTCGGTGCAATCTCGGAGTAGCCATCGTAGAAATGGTCAACAACAGCACCGTATATGTCAACGGAAAACCGGAAATTCAGGTTAGTGTTATTTTTAGTGGCAAGTACTTGGATGACTGCAGGTTGTAAACCCCTTGTGGCATGATGAAAGCGTGGCAGTCATTCATTGGCAGGACAAAAACCATGGAAAGTCTACTGTTGAAGCTGGGCACTGTGCTGGGTAAGGAGGAGAGTTGGGTGGGCCCTTCATGGAAGCAAGCAGGTGCTGGCAGTGTGGGGTGACGTGTTGTGCTGGAGTATGCGGAATGCTTGATCATAGATGAGAGCCCTAGTTGCACTTCTATATTGTGAAAGAATTCCCAAAGAGGGAGATCATAGGACCCGGAGGATGAAAAAGGTTTTGGTGAGGAGAGAAGGAAACTTCTTGAAGAAGAAGGAACTTGGAGTATGAAAGAGAAAGAACATGATGTGTTTTAGGAAAGGAACCAAGGACTATTTCATGCCCTGGAATCTTTGGTAATCTCATCAAGACTTATGAGATGTTTGTTAAAATAGTGCTTGGAAACCTTGAAATAAAATATATAGGATTACAATAGAATTTAGTTATGTTACAATGCAGATATCAAAATATTTAAATATTAAGTATGTGACAGTATATATGAGTCAGAGGACAAAATGCATTTGCAGGCATTTGAAGTGCACACATGAGGCTTTGTGATGTGGCAGCAGCTGGGATGGGATCGAGCACAAGTGTGATTCCAGTGAGGGAATACCAGCGTGGCTTGTTGTTCATGGTCATAATCACAGAAGCAGATCTGAGAAGCCAGTGAAAATAAATTGTTCACTTTTTGTCTATCCAAGTTAACTAACCCACAGGATTCCTTCCAGTTAAAAATTAACTGCAAGTTAAAAATTCCCCAATAGTAAGGCCGAGCACCCAAGGCTTGGAGACGTCCATATAAATCAGTGCTTCTTCACACCGATTCTCACCAGTCACACAGGGAATTCTGGAGGGGCTTTGGCAGAGCTGTCCAAGTCTGTGTCCTCTGCCCACGGGGGAGTGGCTGGCCTCCATGAGAGGAAAGTGGAGGCAGCCGACCCCATTCTGCAGCCGTTGACTTAGGCATACACGCTCTGATGTGACTTAAACAAGCAGGCTGTTTGAATGAGTCACTGAACACCTAAAATAAGGCTTGTCTCATAAGGGACGGCCTAGAGAAAGGCTGAGGTCCTGGCAGAGGAAACAAATGAGATTGCGTGCCCAGGGGACACCCAATAAACACATTCTCACCAAACTGAACGCCTGGAACAATCTGTGACTTTGTGGAGAGGCAGCTGCTAGGTCTCTGGTCCTCACCTGTTTCTGGAGAATCATTTAGACTGGAGTTTCCCAAGCCGGAGTCTGGGCAGCTATTGCTCCGTGAGCTGTGCTGTGAACAACTTGCAGGACGTGTTGCTTGTGTGTGCTGTGTCCACTGAGACTCTTCGCGAGAGGGTGGGGGTAGGGGGCTAGTACTTCCTGAACTGACTTGATGGCAGATGGTTGCTCCCTCTCATGCCACTTCTCCCAGCATCATCTGCGACAGCCTTCTGCCGAGCACTGGTTTGGGAAAATTGGATTTGAATCCATTAAAAAGAAGTGTTTAGTTGGCCTGCACGCAGGATCTTTTTTTTTTTTTTTTTTAAACTAAGATAATTCTGCTAGAGGCCAACAGCACCATGGAGATTCTCTGGCAAATGTCTAAGGCCCAGCTGCATGAAAAAATATTCTTCCCTTTTGGGGATGTGAGCTGTGGGTAGACCTGGCTGGGGTGCCGGGGAGGGGGAGAGGTGGATATCATGCATTATTTAAATAAAGAATGATGTATAATATCAATGTTTCAGATGGGTATCACATGCATTCTGTCAGCCTTTTGTGAGCAAGGCCAGCTAATTAAAACTTGTCTGTTGAGGCCAAAATGAGATGCTGCTTTGCATTTATTTGTTGCCTGAAAAGAAGGCTTAGATTAATACAGCCCACCTTGAGGTGTATGGAAGAGACATTCTGATGAACCCAAGGAGCAATGTTAGTGGCTGCATCCTAGTTGCTATGGTTTTGTCCTTTGGCGTCTTAGAGAAACCGAGTAAGATCTAAACTCTATTCAAATAAAAGAAAATATAAAATATACCATATTTTCTCTGATGTCAGAAGTGGAAGTTTGGTAGCATGTCAGAAGTTCTAGTGCATTCTGATTTATAGCAGGTCATTTTTCTCTTGTGCAAACAGAAAGCAACTTGTCTATCAGCTGAGCATGACAAAATGTTGTGAATGGATGGGGTTTGGGTTTGGTTTTCTGTTGTGGGGCGGGGGAGAAGTGGATGTTTGCACTGAGATATTTTCAAAAGCAGGAGACAAATAAGCAGTATGAACAGGAAGGCCTTTCCAACAAATAGTGGCACTACAATGTGTGATTTTTGGCTAATGTGTGAATAACCGCTTTTGGCTAATGTGTGTAACCGCTTTTTTTTTTTCCGTAATGATTATGAGTTGAAAGATGTGAGACATTTACAACACTGGAGTTTCCCAAGCCGGAGTCTGGGCAGCTATTGCTCCGTGAGCAAGTCAGTATGACATTCAGGGAGAATCCCATGATGAGGAAGGGAGGGTCTTGGAAGGAAGTGTAAGCCTGGATACCGGAAGTGGCACTCCTTTTAGTTCTTTGCTAACTCATATTGCTGTTATTACAAAATGGGAATAAAAAGATAATGAAAGAACAGGTGAAATAGTCCATATTGAGTACTTATATTCATTTCCTAAGACTGCAGTAACAAATAACCACTAACTTGATGGCTTAAGACAACAGGAATGCATGCTCTCCCACTTGTGTAGTGCAGAGTCTAAAAGTCAGCTGTGGACAGGGTCCCCCTCTTTTTGAAGGCTTTTGGGGAATCGTTCTTGATTCTTCTAGGAGTTCTTTGGTTTGGGGCTGCCAAACTGCACTCTCTGCCTGCCTCCTCGTGTGGCCTTCTCCTCTCTACTCCTCAGACCTCCCTTTGCCTTTCTTTTATAAGGATATACATTGTCAGATTTATGGCCGTACTACATAATCTAGAACATTTCTTCTTAAGAGCTGTGACTTGTTCCCATCCACAAAGACTTGTTTGCCAACTAAGGTAGCATTAAAAGTTTCTGGAGGTTTAGTAAGGATGTCTTTGGTTGCTATCAGTAATGGTTCATTCATGGACTATTACAATTTTCTTTTTTTTATTGTAAAGATGTTTATTTATTTATTTGAAAGGCAGAATGATAGAAAGAGAGAGAGGAACTTCCATCCACTAGTTCACTTCCCAAATGGCTGGAATAGCTGGGGCTGAGTGAGGCTGAAGCCAGGAGCCAGGGGCTTCATCCAGATCTCCCACGTGGGTGGCAGGGACTCACTCAGGTCACTATTGTTGCTTCTCATGTACATTAGTGGGCAGCTGGATTGGCAGTGGAACATCTGCGACTCGAACTGGCACTCCCATAAGAAGTGTGGGCACTACAAGCAGAAGCTTAATTCATCACGCTACAACATCCATCCCATTTTTAACTTTGGAATATTTCTCTGTAATAATAATGCTTAACCTGAGAGCTACCTCTGTAACATTTTTTTGAAGTTATCTATTTTCATTTGGAAGGCAGGTTTACAGAGAGAAGAGAGACAGAGAGAGGGATCTTCCATTTGCTGGTTACCCCCCAAGTGGCTGCAATGGTTGGAGCCATGACTGGAGCTGGTCCAGTCTGCTGCTAGGGGCCTGGAGCTTCTATGGAGTATCCCACATGATACAGGGGTCCAAGGACCTTGACCGTGTTCCCATATTTTCCCAGGTGCATTAGCAGGAAGCTGGATTGAAAGTATAGCAGTCAGGAGTCAAGTTGGTATCCATATGGGATGCCAGCACTTCTTGCAGAGACAGCCTATTATACCACAGCACTGGCCACTTTTAAGCAAATTTTAAAATGTAAAATACTTGGGGTGTTAAAATAATTAGTGGAAAATTTGTATTATGAAAAACCAGTGCACGGGTTTAAAATATTTGGACTAAAATAAAATTATTTTTTTATTTCAAATATTCTACAAGATTTTTTAAATCCCACATGCATTACTATTGACTATACATATCTGGATAAATACATAGAAGTGGAATTGATGAATCATTTAATAGCTTCTTATTTTTAGTTATTTGATCATCTTCCATATTTGCTTTCCACGGTGGCATTACTATTCTGTCTTCAATCAACAGTGCATGTGTAGTCCAGTTTCCCCATATTCTAGCCAACGATTGTCATCTTATGTTCTTATTTTTGTGATAACGAAGTGATATCTCATTGTGATGCTGATTTCATTTCTGTAACTGTGACATTGAGCATCTTCTGTCATAGCAGGTGGCCATTTCTGTGTCTTCCTTTGGAGAAATATTTATCAAGTTTCTAGTCTCCCACGATGGTCTTGGTAAGGCTCAGATGATGATGAAAGCAGGTCTAAGGGTTCTTCTTGGGTCATTCTTTCAAAGAACCATGGAAATTCCTCCTGTCAGGCAGAAAGGATGATGGGATAGAGAATTAGCAGGGGCATGAAGTGGGACTGAAAACCATTTCAGTTTTCCCTCTGCCTTGAGTTTTTGGATTGTTGTGCAGCTTGAGCCAAAAAAGTCTTGTGTCTCCACAGTGAGAATTTCAATCTCTGTTAGGAGGTGGAGAGAGTGTAGCTTTTGTGGTTAGGGTCGGGGTGGGATCAGAAGGTGGTAGGGTGTCAGGCAGACTAGAGGTTGTGATCTCGACAACTCGCTGGGTCACCTGGGGTGAGTACATGCATGTTTAAGCCTTTGTTTCCTCATCTTCTAAAAACAAATTGATAACAATTATCTGCAAGTGATTGTTCCAAGGATTGGTGCAAGAAGTAACTTGAAAGTAGCTCAACAGAAAGCAGATGACGTTTGTGTTTTAACTTTGCGGTGGCTTCTGTCTCTCTGTGTCCTTGTGGTGACTTAATGAACCCATCATGCCAAGCACAGTCATCTCACTGAAGTCAATCCTGGTTCTTCTGTCTAAAATTTCAGTTCCCTCCCCTCCCCTTCCCTCCCCTCTCTTCCCCTCCCCTCCCTCCCCTCTCCTCTCCTCCCCTCCCCTCTCCTCTCCTCCCCTCCCCATGCTTCATATCCCACTTCCTTGACTGTTTTTCTCCCTTTCATTGTTGGTCACCATTCATTCACCAGTGAGCATCCACACTGGCTTCTTCATAAAGGCAAGGGTTCTTGTTCACTACTGGAACCCAAATGCTCCCAACAAGATGTGACACAAAATAGGTGCAAAATGAACATTTGATGGGAAATTTGAATGAATGATTACTGTGTTATTCTTACTCTTGAACTTTCGTTTCCTAATTGACACAATGCTAAGTATGGTAGAGAAAAGTACACAATGTCATTTAGTGTGTGGCTTGAAGGCCAAGGTGATTCCTGCTTGAATTAGTATTCATATTGTTTGGCAGCTGACCCATATATAGGAAACACTAGGTAAATGCTGACTACATGAACAAATAACTGTGCTATGAATTGTACTAGAAAAATAACTATGGTAAGAGTTCACAAAGCATTATATATTGATAATGAAGAATGCCAACCCCACACTTAAATGTTGACATCAATGATGCTCAAAGCTCTTACTTTATTCATCCACTCAGCAAATATTTACTTGCATCTTCTGATCAGGACATGGAAGCCTTCCTAGAGTGTCTCATCCTTTAGTGTTAGAATCAGACACTGACCTGCCACTCTGAGGACAGCACAAGGTGGCACCAGGGCTGTAAGTTCACAGCTCTGTGGGTCAACCCCAGGGAGAAGAGACTAAGTTGATTTGGGGTGAGATGGTCAGGAAACCTCCTTAGAGGAAAGGCCATTTGCTGTAAGTCTAAAACAAGGAGGTGCTCTCCCTGGAGAAGGAAGTGAGAAAAGGGGCTCCAACCCCTGGGAGTCATTTTCTCAATAGTCTGAGAGTTGTAGAAGGGTATGTGGGATCCACCGTCGCCATTAAAGTAGCAGTAGCGGCAGCCATCAACGAGGCTGCACTGTGTGTCAGCAACTATCCTAAGGCAACGTCTCTCAGGATCCAGGATAAGCCCTGATGCCATCCATCCCAGTGTTCTCCATGGGTGTCCAGAACAGATCTCACTATCCTCATTACGATGGGAGAACCCAAACACTGCTTCTCATTGTGCTCTCACTAAGCTGGCTTCCAAACCAACTAGTAAACCAAGTACTAAACAACCTCGTGACACTGAAAATACCATAGTGACATTATGGTAAGCTGTTGTATTTTCTCTTTCATCACTAATTGGTCGACAAACAGGTATTTAAGTGTGTGCCTGTCTCTCTCCTTTGAAGATGTGCTCTGCGAGAGGTGGGCTTGGTTGTGTTCACTGGCATAGCTTAAGGACACAAGGCAGCCTCCAGAACCATTTATTCAAGAAAGGAAGGAAAGAAATGTCATTGGAACTATGAGGCAGGAGCATCGGTAAGACCTTGGGGTGAAGTGTTTCCTTACAACTCTAACCGTATCTGGTTTCTTGTCTCCAGACAGCGCAGTTTAACTGGGACCCAGAGACAGTGGGCCTGATCCACGGATCTTTCTTCTGGGGCTATATTGTGACCCAGATTCCAGGTGGTTTCATTTCAAACAAGTTTGCTGCTAACAGGTAAGATAAACTGGGCCATCAGTAGTGCTGCACAGGTTACAGTGTGGCTTGGCACCTTTGTAAAGTCTGCATGGCCAACTCCAATTTGAGGTGGAAATAAAAAATGGGAGCCATCCTGATATATGCCATTTGCAGATCTTGATCACAAATGGTTCCTATTCTTTTGTACATTATTGAGAGAGACTTCCCAAATGCCCACAAAAGCTGAGGCTGGGCCAGGGTGAAGCTGAAAGTTGGAAGCTCACGTGGGAAACAGGAACCCAATTACAGGACACAGCACGGCTGCCTTGTGGGGAGTGCAGGAGCAGGAAGTTCAGGTTAGGAGCTGGAGCTGAGCAACAGACACAGGCATCCTAATGTGATAGATACCTGGGCATTTCAGTTCACACCATAAGCACTAGGCTACACGCTCACCTGAACCTATTTCTCAGTGTCACTCTGGACTTAGTCTTTTGACCAAGCTAATTGACCTTGTAATTTAACAAGTTATATGGTAAAAATAACAATGAACTCCAAATCAGGAGAAATTAATCCTGGCTCCTAAATGGCTCACTGTATAACCTCTAGTGAGTCATTTTCCTTCACTCTCAGAGCCTCAGTTTTCTCATCTGTAAAATGAAATCATTGAACTATATTGTATTTTAAGCTTCTGCCTGTGCTGCTGGCTTCGCATGTAGCTGTTGGTTCGTGTCCCAGGTGCTTATCCAACTCCATGCTCATGGCTTGGGAAAGAGCCAGAAGACAGCCAAAGACTTTGGGCCCCTGTACCCATGTGGGAGACCTGGAGGGAGCTTCTGGCTCTTAACTTTAGACCCTCCCAGCTCTAACTGTTGCAGCCATTTGGGAAGTGAACCAGCAGAAGAAGGATCTCTCTTTGTCTCTCCTTCTCCTGCTGTAACTCTGCTTTTTCAAAGAACAAATTTAAAAGAATCAATTCTCTTTCATCAATGACTGTATTTCAAATCTATTACTAGTGACATTCGGCCACTCTATGAACTCATAACAGTTTGTCATGGCAGTAGTAAGGGCTTGCTTCTAACCTACAATATGTGCTTTGCATGTCCTGGAGACTTTACAGTAGGGGTTGGAACAATTAAAAACATCTAAGAACAGGATGAGCAGTGTCAGTGTGGAGTGAGTCCTCGCTCAGCAGAGGTCGTTAAGCAGGAGAGGATGACCACTTGGGGGAGATGCAGAGTAAAACATGCATGAGAGAGGAATGTGGGCAACACCTCCGCTTCCTTCCTAATCCTATTTCTCGTATAATTTTATATTTTGTGCAGTACGCTGCATTTCAGAAAAGTGCGTTTTAAACTCTAAAAACAACTTCTGAAATGGTTGTGAATTTAATTCAGTGATTTAGCCACAAGTATTTGAGAGGTCAAGAGAAAAAAGAAATAGAATAGATCTGTACAGAATGGTAAGTATCTGAGTGCACTGCATGTCAGAGCAGCCATTGGTTTTGGAAACTTAGTTCATTTGTGTATAGGAGCACAGACTGTATTACAAAGTGTATGTTCTTTATGAGTGAAAAGAAAGCCCATTATTATAAGATCTAAAAATATGTAAGCATAGCTTTTTAAAAAACTCATGCTATTATTCAATTTGTGCCTTTGATTTATTGTTACCTATTCTACTCTTGTTAAAATTTTCTTAAATTTATTTTTTAATCTCTTCGCATTTTTTAACAGACTCAATGTAGTTCCTCGATACAGTTCTGTGAATATGACAGTGCCCTCACCTCCTTCTTCCCCGCGCTCTCTCATCCTACTTCCCTCCCCTCCTTTTTTTTTTTTGTTAGCATACATACCTTTACTATACATTACAGTCAAATGCTTGCTTAGTGCTCGAGTAAATAAAGTGTTCAATCAAGTAAAAAGCAAAAAGATTCTAGTTTAGGGAAAATGTAGGCCATCTATTCTTCTTATAAAGTGATGAAAGCGCTAACTATTGGCAGGTTTGGTCTCCTAGGTTACTGCCCACACCTCTGCCCTAATGTGATTGTCTCACATGGGAAAAAGGCTGAAGGGATATTAGCCTGTGGAGGAAGATGAAAAAATGTTGGGTTTTTTTTCTCTTGCCCAGGATATCATGAGCTGAGCAGAGTAGAGTGGGCAGGGGTGCTGCGTGGGGGCTGCGGGCCAGAGCAGGTCTATATCCTCTCTTGGGCTTGTCTGGTCCTGAGGCAGGAGACACTTCCTGGAGGGTTAGCATCCAGGACTGGGGGAATGGTCCAGAGTGGACCATTCACTGGGCAGCTTGGCAGGCCTCCAAGTCCGTTCAGGCTGGTGAAGGGAGCCATCCAAGAAGGCAGCCTAGTGCCAGCACGCCTCAGTCCGAGGACTGGAGCTGGGCAGTCCGAGCCACCAAGTCCAGCACGGAGCGCGGGAGACCTGATGCCTTTACTTCTTGAACTCATTCTTCTGCCGCAGCCTCAGCAGGTCTTCCCAGTAACGGTGCTTTGGTCCTTAGGGTCTTTGGAGCTGCCATCTTCCTAACTTCGACTTTGAACATGTTCATTCCGTCTGCGGCCAGAGTGCATTATGGATGTGTCATGTGCGTCAGAATTCTGCAAGGCCTGGTGGAGGTAAGAATCCAGTCCTTAGGCTTCTTGATATTGACGCGTGGTCTTTTAGAATATTCAGCGGAAGGACCTCCACCCCTTCCTTCCTGCCTTGCTTCTTAAAGTGACATTGCGTTTTAAAGATTTGCTTTTTTTTTATAAGGTAGAGTTACAGAGTGAGTGAGTGAACGAAGACAGATCTTCCATCCGCAAATGGGCACAATGGCTTGGAGCTGGGTCAAGCCCAATTCAAGAGCTGAAAACTGCGCTGACCCTCACTCGGGAGAGCAGGGGCCCAAAGTACTTGAGGCATCTTTCGTTGCGTTCCTAGGCACATTAGCAGGGATCAGAGTGGAACAGCAGAGATTCGAACTGGCTTTCATATGGGATTCTGGCATTGTAGGCTTAACCTGCCGAACAACAACACAATCCCCACCCTCTCCACCAAGCCCTTTTTCGATAGTTTTCCAATTTCCACATTGTCCTGATATCTCAGCTCTCTGGTGATGGCTATAAGGATAATAATAATAATTATTATTAAATATTTATTTTATTTTAGTGTGAAAGAATTATACACAAAGAGAGAGAGAGAGAGACAGACAAAGAGAAAGAGGAGAGAGAGAGAGATCTTTCATTTGCTGGTTCACTCCCCAGGAGCTTCTTCTGGGTCTCCCACGTGGGTGCAGGGGCCTAAGGACTTGAGCCATCCTCCACTGCTCTCCCAGGGCTTAAGCAGGGAGCTGGATGGGAAGTGGAGTAGCTTGGGTACAAACCACAAACTTGGGCTCACTTGGGGTGATGGTGCCACAGACAGAGGCTTAGCCCGCTGTGCCAGGGCGATAGCCTCAGATGGCTGCAACTGTGCATATTTTACTTAAGATGGCTTGTGTTATTTCCCATTAGTATCAATTCACTTAAAATTAATAAAGACACACCCAAAAATCCTTTATTCTGCATTATAGTATTTTGGAAATTATTGCTTTGAATATGCACTAGTCTGCTTTTTGATCTTAACTTAAATATCTAAGCAGAGTTTCTTGGGATGGAAAAGGCTTATTTTAGCTTATAGCATGAAGGTTATGTTTATGGTTGGCAGTCCTGTCGTCTGGTGGAGGCTTGTCATGGCATTGAGGGAGGCACAATTACATAGTGGGCCAAGGAGAGAGAGAGAGAGAGACAGACAGACAGAGAGAGGCAGAAGGGCAGGGATGGAGCTAGGTAAAACTTGACCTCAGATAACAATCTACCCTGTTGTAAGCATCACATCTGAGGATACCTCTCCAATGACCAGAAGACCTCCTACCGGGCATACTTTTAAATGTTATAATTAGATTAAGCCACCATCTTTAATTCATCAATCATTAACATTACAGCATCAAAGTTTAAATATCTTGCTTGAATTTTGGAAAGACAAGTCTTATTTAACTTATCAACCCCATAACACTAGGTTAATTTTTCTAAAATGTATTAGAACATGCTTGTAATAATTAGATTAAGAAAATAAATCGTGGGCCTGGTGCGATGGCACGGTGGATAAGGTCCTCGCCTTGCACGCCCGGGATCCCATGTGGGTACCAGTTCTAGTCCTGGCAGCCCCGCTTCCCATCCAGCTCCTTGCTTGTGACCTGGAAAAGCAGTCGAGGATGGCTCAAAGCTTTGGGACCCTGCACTTGCGTGTGGGAGACCCGGAAGAGGCTCCTGGCTTCATGATGACTCTATCCTCATAATTTATGCATCCCAGAGACCTATCTCCAAACACTGTCATGTTGAGGATTAGGTTTTAACATATGAATCTGGTGGGACAAATAGACATTCAGCCTGTGGCAGGGTCTATGAATTGGTGTTATAAGTTGTAGTCTATATAAAGAAGCAATATCCATGTCTTAAGCAAACAAGAACTGGAGGAAAATGAAATGATCTCTTTCCTACCCCTCTTCTAGGGTGTGACTTACCCGGCTTGCCATGGGATGTGGAGTAAGTGGGCACCACCTTTGGAGAGAAGCCGGCTGGCCACAACCTCCTTTTGTGGTGAGTGTTGTTAGGACTTCAGCTTCAAAGTAACTGAGAGGCCCACTGAGGGCATGAAACAGTCTTTTCTCACGTCCCAGCATCGCAAAGGTGAGTGGCTGTGGCTGCTGGTCATGCTGCTCTGTGAACCGTGCAGGGCTTGGCAGGTGCCCTTCACTAAGAAGGCAAGTGCTTTCCTGAAGTCCCTTCTTGGCTGTAAACTGTACCTGAGCCATACACTGCACTAACTGCAAAAGATAGGAAAGCAAGTGCCTACTTCTGTTGGCTCTCTAGGAAAGGAGAGAAAAGGATTGGATACAGCTGTTGGGTTGGCCATAAGATGACATTTGCCAAGGGTAAATGTGGAAGAATTAGGGTTGTTATGCCTCCCACTTTTCTTTTTTTTTTTTTTAAAGATTTATTTTTATTTTCATTACAAAGTCAGATATACAGAGAGGAGGAGAGACAGAGAGGAAGATCTTCCGTCCGATGATTCACTTTCCAAGTGAGCGCAATGGCTGGTGCTGTGCCGATCTGAAGCCAGGAGCTAGGAGCTCTTCCAGGTCTCCTACATGGGTGCAGAGTCCCAAGGCTTTGGGCTATCCTCGACTGCTTTTCCAGGCTACAAGCAGGGAGCTGGATGGGAAGTGGAGCTGCCAGGATAGAACCGGCACCTATATGGGATCCCGGGCGTTCAAGGCGAGGACTTTAGCTGTTAGACCATGCCGCTGGGCCCCCCACTTTTCCTTTTCCTTTCCTATTTCCTTTGAAATAATATCTCATTGACTTGTACACCATCACACAGACATTGCCCATAGTTACACAAATACAAGTCATGGAGCCAGAGCAAGACTACCTGGTGGTTGTGCTGCAACTTTTCTTACTACACACTACTAACCCTGCATTAGCCCATTTTTGGAAAATGTAATGAAAAACTTGGGATAGACTAACTTTATAAGGAAAAGAGAACCATTCAGTTCCCAGTTCTGAAGACATAAGGCACAAGTGCTAGCAGTGCTCAGCACTGATGAGTGCCATCACTGATGGCAATCGTGATGGATAGCAGGAACACAGGCAAGAGTGAGAGATCGCAACCAGCAAACAGAAAGGTGGGTAGGCTATGGTCCCACAGCCCATCCAAGGCACACCCTCAGTCACCTGAACCCTTCTAGGCCGCCTCTTACTTTCTATTTACCTGTTAAGTAATAATTCTTGTAATAATGATAGAGATCAAATATCTGTCAAACTTGGTGTGAACTGCTCAGCAATGTGCCCAATGTTTGCCTACGCTGGAATTGCAGGCACAGTTGAGATGTCTCCAGACACCCTAACTGGCCTCTTTATTTACATTTCAAGAATACCCCTGGGCCGCCTGCCCCCTGAGCTTGTCTGGACTGTAGAGCTGTGTAAGTCTCTACCCAGCTCACCATGTAGGTTGTTGGATCCCAGACCCTACCTTCTCGGGATGGTTGATTTGTAAGCCTTCTCATTTTGATTTGCCAGCAAAAAACAAGAATGACGAGCAGCCACTCCCCATTCTTAGTGTGTCTTTACAGCCCTGGAAGTGCTGATTTGAAAAATAATTTAGCTCTCAAGGAAAGTAACATGGTCAAGGTCACAGGTCCTATTACCTTTCCCAGCTAAGGTGTGGTCTTGATTTCAAGGGAAAATGTCCTTATAAGGAAAAACAAATCTGGAGGCTAATTGAATGTGAATCTCAAAAGACTTCAGAGTGAGAAGAGACTAGAAAACATCCAGTCACACTGCCTTGCTTAGAACTTAAGGAAACTTGGGATCAGGAAGAAGAAAAGGAGTTATATCTTCAGGGCTTGTGAAGGCCTAGCTGTGAACTCTCCTACCCCTGATTCTGTGACTCTCCCTTCCCTTGCCATCCACGTTCATTTGAAAGCCACATTTGTCTTTCCTGGTTATGGTGAGCGCATGGGGGCCAAGGGGCAGCCTGCTCCCGGGGCAGCCAAAGGAAGGGCTCAAAGCTTGTGGATGACAGGAGAGGGCCTTGGAGCCTTATCTGAAAGGATATGGAAGTCTTTTTCTAAGAGATGATGTAGACGAGCAATTGAAGTTAAGTTGTAGTATTTTCCCAGTGAAACAACACTTATCGTGAAGAGTTTTATTGGATGTGTTCGAGTGAGGGAGGCAGAACTGAGGACCTGTGTTCTGAATTCTGTCACCCACACCTGTGTGACCTCAGGTAATTCATTACCCTCCTTTACCAGGATGATTTTCTTTCTTGTGAAATGTAAATGATATTAGGATCTACTTCCTGATGTTACAGAAGGTTGAATAACATCATAGGAACAAAACACTTAGAAAAGGACTTGGAGTTGAGAGAAGGACAAGGAGCTAAGAACTTCCAGCATGCCAGCCACATGCACAGCCCCAACCTTACCAACTCGTGTGCTAAGTCAACTCCCCTTAACACCTGGCACAGCTGCCACACCCACTCCTCATAGTGCAACTAAGCCTCGCCACTCATCAGATGCCATGATGCCACACAGGCTGCAGTCCCATCTTTTATCCTATGACAAAAAAAAGACCCTTCAGTTTGGCTGTGATAAATTCTCTTGAGGTTGTCCACACCCACTTCTGAGTGAGTATTAAATGCTTTTTTCCCCCTCTCTATCCATGTCTCCTGTTTTATTCTTATGTGTAGGAAGTTAAGAACCTAGACTAACCCAACCCAACCAGGACTCTCCGTCCCCACAACATATTTTGAAGTTCCTATCCCCACCACAACGGTAGGCACTGCATCTCCATGGACCACTTCACATGGACCAGTGAAGTTGCCTTACATGCTTGAGGAATTTCAAGGTTTAAACAAACAAGCAAAAATGGTTGTCATTCCATGTATGATAGTAGCAGTAACAATTGGCATTGTGAGTCCCTCTGAGCTTACAAAACAGCTTCACAGACATCCTTGCCTTGAGCCTCAAACCAACCAGAGATGGACATTTTCATCTTATCACTGCGGAGCAAGAGTCTCAGATATCATGACATTCAGACCCCAGGTACCAGGTATCTTCCCTAGAAGGTCATGGCCAGTTTGGAAAGCTGTGTCCTAATCTGCTTGTCTGCAAGATCTTCCATTTCGCTTTCCTAACGATTTCCCTTATCACTAAGTTGGCAATATAGAATTTCATTTTGAGTTGCTCAGTTTTTCTGAGCTAAGAGAGTTGGTGTTAATTTTTATTTATTTATTATTTATTTGTTTGATGCCCAGCCCAGGGAGGATTTTAGGTAGTAAACTTTTGAATTCAGTTAATATTTGTTGGGAGTTCCCAAGGTTCATGTTTCCTTACCAGATATCCTGGAGTTTCAGCAGATAATGAAGGCTGGGTCACTGCCTCTATTCATTATCTTGTCTAGACAAGATAAACTTAAGTAAGTATATGCAAGGTTAAGTATTTAAAAAATAAGAAAAGTCAAAGAGCAGCACTAAAGTAATTTAAAGGTCTTTTTTCTTCATTTTAGTTTTTAACATTTGTGGTTATCATGTAATACTTATTCACCTTTATGTGGCAAAAGACAATATTTCAACAGGTTAATCTAGTTTTATCTGATCAGATCAGCCAATCAGCATTTCCCCATTTCCTCATGTTTGAAACCTGCTAGCTTCTCTATTCCTGCTCTTCATGTAGCATATAATGTATGGTTGTAATCTGTAGTCACCTTGCACTGCTGTGGTACACACAGTGTCCTGGCTGTTCCACTTCCCAGCCAGCTCTCTGCTTGTGGTCTGGGATAGCAGTAGAGGGCAGCCCAAAGCCTTGGGACCCTACACCCATGTGGCAAGTCTAGAAGAAGCTCCTGGTTTCAAATTGACTGTGGATGGGCTCAAGTCTGACTGTGTGGCCATTTTGGGAATGAACCAGTGGGCAGAAGATCTTTCTGCCTCTCCTTCTTTCCATAAATTCAGATTTCCAATGAAAACAAATAAATTTACAAAATTATTTCCTGTTAAATGCAGTAAGGAGACAAAAAATATAAAAATGATTAATGGCTAAGATTAGGTTATTTTGAGTTAAATTTTCTGTGAAAGGGTTAAGGCAGAGGCAGCTTCATTACTAAGATAATTGAAGATGGACTTTCTGGGAAATCAGCCTGCTCTGTCTCTCAGTTCTCTTGGTTTCTTAGGGGGTCAGATTAGTTCCAGTTTGCCTATGTGGGGCATTAGCAGGAAGTGACTCCATCTTCAATTTTAGTTTAGTCTGTTGGTGTCTAGTACAGAGCCTAGTTTAAAACAACGACTTCCTGTAATTTTTATTTAACAGAAATAAAGATCAGCCAAGAGGCAGATGGGGACAGCAGTTCTACCATCTTGGAATTAAACTGTTTTCTATTAAAAAACCTAAAAATCATAAAAACACGATCTTTTTAATAGTGTGATGTCTTTTGCTTAAAGATTGTTTGTGAGCATCCTCTGAACTGTGAGCCCTGAAGGTCAGATTCTCTGTGTTTCTTTGCTTGTTCTCTTTAGCGCCCAGTATTGTGTCTGGTTGAATCTTCATGATTTTAAAAATTTCTTCCATTTTGAGATTCTACTCCCTGATGTGATTCCAAGTGGTCCTTGAGCAATCCTTGTCTAAGTGCTACCGCAGTCCCCAGAGGAGGTTAAAGGGCAAGCTGATGTCATGCACGGGGAGGCTGCCCGTCTCCCTACGGGTGACAGCCCGGCTCCTGTTCAGTTGGATTCATTCTCGACCTTACCCCAGGGACAGGCTTGCAGGAAGATGGGTCGACTTCCCTCCATGTTTTCTCATTTCAGGTTCCTATGCAGGGGCCGTTGTTGCTATGCCCCTGGCAGGGGTGCTGGTGCAGTACATCGGATGGGCCTCTGTCTTTTACATTTATGGTAAGTGATTTGACTTTGTGAGTTCCAAGGATGATTTGTAGTTATGTAAATGGACTACCCGTGATTCATTTATTTATATTCAAGGTTTTTTTTTTGTTGTTGTTACAAATAGGCAGATTATACCAGTCAACAATGCCAGGAAAATCAACAAAATCCTTTTCTCCTGCTCGAACACAGTGTCATTTGGGTGTGTTTTAAAAAAAATTTAAAAAGAAAAAAATAGAAATAAAGAAGAGAGATTGTATCCTCAAGCCTTTCATGTTTCAACTGCAGGGATGTTTGGAATCCTTTGGTATCTGTTCTGGCTGCTGCAGGCCTACGAGTGTCCAGCCGCTCACCCAACGATATCCAGTGAGGAGAGAACATACATCGAGACAAGCATAGGAGAAGGAGCCAACTTGGTTAGTCTAAGCGTAAGTATTCACGGGCCGATGAAGCCCTTCTTTTTCTCTAGCAGTATTTCTGTTAGTGATGGTGTTGTCCTCTTGAACAATAAGGTGTCCGTATCTTCACTAACAGATGTTTTTATTCCTTAGAAATTTAATACACCGTGGAAAAGATTTTTCACATCCTTGCCAGTCTATGCTATCATTGTGGCAAACTTTTGCCGAAGCTGGACCTTTTACTTGCTTTTAATAAGTCAGCCTGCTTATTTTGAAGAGGTCTTTGGATTTGCCATCAGTAAGGTAAACGCATAGATACTTCAAATACTCTAGAACTTTGAATTTCTTGATGCCCCTGAGCTTATCTGAACATGATAAAATAAATTTGTTGGTCATGATTCAGAATAGATCGTAATAACTTGGCAGTGGGAGAATGCACATACATTCTGTACAGAATACACACAGCTATTTAATTTCTTCTTAGTATGGATCAGAGATGTATTAAATTGCTTTGAAACATTTATGTTCTGTTCGATATCTAAGTGTGTTTGACGTTTTCCCGAGCACTGCACATTAGACAAGGATAAAGAGACTTGAGGGGCTGGGGGTTTCTTTTTCCAATAAACCATTCAGTAGCACTGAGAGCTCATTTTGCAGCTGACTCCTCTTTTCAGAGCTGTGGTTTTATTGGTAGCTCCCATAGTTTGGGATGGTTGAGAAATAACCCCGTGCAGTGTCAATTAAGCTATCTATGTTTTAGGGGCAGTGTTTGTATGGTAAAACATAAAATAACTCGATAAAATCATGAAGCCTCATTGTCACAAAAGAAAGAATAGCAGCCGGGCAGAGGTAGATGTCCACCCAGCTACTGGTACTGTCAGAGTGGACCATGGAAAAACTAGCAAAGTCAGAGAGTGACTGCCAACAGCGAAAGCTTAGCCCACACTAAAGGCATTTGCTAAGCTGCCTGTTGGGGTCTCCATAAGGGATATCACAAGTCAGCTTTGATCTCCAGGAGTTTCTGATATGGTGGAAGAGACAGGTTTTTATTAAACTCATTGACTCATTTGCTCTGTTTTCATTGAGAAAGGCAACAGCGTGTGGATCCTAGCTGTGGGGCTGGGCAGGGGCCTAAGGGTATAGCTTTCAGCAGCTGTGAAAAATAGCTCACTGTTTCATTTCTCCAAGGTGGGTCTCTTGTCAGCAGTGCCGCATATGGTTATGACGATTGTTGTACCTATTGGAGGACAACTGGCTGATTATTTAAGAAGCAGAAAAATTTTGACTACAACAGCTGTCCGAAAAATCATGAACTGTGGAGGTACTGTGGCTTTCATAGTGACATTTGTAGAACTGGAGCAAACAAAACATTTCAGAGGGGAACAGGGGTCTTTGGAATGGACTTTAAAATTCAGCAGATCTTTAGGTAATGCTCATCCTACTGTTGCCACTTGGTCATCAGCCCAAGCTCGTGCAACCTGAGAAGGCATCATAGGCAATGGCTGATAAATTAGGACACAAGTCACAGAAGTGCTTCATTTATCTACTTGAGCACCATAGCAGCATGATTTCCCATTACATATTGTTTATGATTTATCTTTTTCACTTGCCCTTTCATTATTATTTATTTATCTATGTTATTCCTTTTCTGCATATACATGTTTTGGTAAGAAACAGAAAAAAGTATTTTCTCTGGGTAGCTATCTTTCCTCCCAGCATATCTGTGTGCCTGGGTTATGTGTACTTGCGGCCTGTTTCCACACATGCACACGGGTCATTTATTCCCTGATTTACGTTTTGATCATGTAAAGACAGTGCAGTTAAGTGTCCCCCCTCCAAAACAAAACAAAATAAAATAAAACCAAAGGTAGTTGAAAGGAACTGTAGCCTGTGTAATAGTCAGGAACCTTCTGTTTTCTTATCTTGTTTGGTTTTGCTTTTTAAAATGAGCATTATGGAATGCTCTCTATGTCAGATGCTATGTAATTTACAGGAGGAAAATGGAGGCAACATAAAGACTTGCCTGAGTGGTAGATTCTGTGCAAGATAGCAGGTTTGTTTGAGTCCATTGCCAATGCTGACTCACTCTTTGGGGCTGTGTCTCCAGGGACCTGGGGATCAGCCTGAGCTGATGGGAAACTGAGGATGGCACCATCTAAGGGCACGCAGTCACACCTGGGATATTAGATTGAAACAGAGAGGATGTGCATGCTCTAACTCCTGATTGGATTGAGTCAGTCCTTTTTAGAAGGAAGAACATGTAGGGGTCATTTGGGGAATGAACCAACAGACAGATGATCTCGCTCCCTGGTTCTCTCCCCTATTGCTGTTATTCTAACTTTCAAATAAATGCAATATATCATGGGCCCAGCGGTAGCCTAGTGGCTCAAGTCCTTGCCTTGCACATGCCGGGGTCCCACAAGAGTGCCGGTTCTAATCCCGGTGGCCCCACTTCCTATTCAGCTCCTTGCTTGTGACCTGGGAAAGCAGTGAAGGATGGCCCAAAGCCTTGGACTCTGCACTTGCGTGGGAGACCTGGAAGAGGCTCCGGGCTCCTGACTTCGGATTGACTCAGCTCCAGCCATTGCGGCCACTTGGAGAGTGAATCAACAGATGGAAGATCTTCCTCTCTGTCTCTCCTCCTCTCTGTATATCTGCCTTTCCAATAAAAACAAATAAATCTTAAATATATATATATATACATATATATACATATATATATATATATAATAAAAAGAAAAAACTGAAGTTTTTTTTTCAGGAAAAGAGAAGATGGAGAGAGAAGAATATCTTGGTTAGAAATCCACGTAGGTACCACACAACATTGTGGGACTAGAAAACAGCTATCGGAGCTGTAAGAAAGAGCTTAGAACTCCATGTGGGAAAACGGCAGTAAAATACACACTTATTTTGATGCAAAGACTTTCTGCAATCCATGTGGAGTTTCTCATAGTGTACACTTTCTGTAAACCTTAAGACTACCTCCCTCCCCTGCGTCACAAGACAGAGAGGGCTGACTGTGGAATGGATGGGGGAGTAGAGAGGTGAGAGCTGGCAGAAGATCAAGTGGGACCTGGGGCCCCCATTTGTGCAGCTGTGTCCATGTGCCATGTTCAATGTCCTTTCCATCCAATTTCATCTCCCAGTGCCCAATGAAGTTAATCATATGATTGTCTCCAGTTTGGGATAAGGAATGTAAGACGTGAAGGAACTGGCCTAAGGTCACATGATTGGTGATTCTGAAGTAGACTCTGACTTTATAGCCCAGTTTCCAAAGACAGATGATAGAAGATTAGAGAAGAAGAGACTGGGCTTGGTCAGAATGTTCTGCTTTGTTTAGCAGTGGAATGAGGGGAACAGAGATTTGCTTAGGTTGTGTTGTTCCCTTAAAGGCAACTGCAGGTCAGTGGTCTAGACGGGAGTCAGCTGTGTCCAGAATGTCGCTGCACTGATTTCACTTTCTTCCCAGGACAGTCTGTAGGCTGGTGAGTGCTATCTGTGTCAACTTCCTGCCTGATGTTGGCTGGAATCCTTTGGTGAGAAGGGGCTTCTTAAAAATCTTCCAATTCTTTGTTATTGTGCTGGATCCACTTATTCTGAATGGAAGGAAGCAGAAAGCACTTCCGTCCTGTTGGACAAGTTTTAACAAACTGGCCTGAGAGCTTTGGTGTGTTTCTAAAAGGGAAGAATGTCACCCTACAAATTACAAGTAGTTAGACTGCATTTGACTTTAGATAACCTAGTCTTTAAAAATTTTGTATATTTTCATTTTATTTGAAAGCAGCCCCTCTCCCTCTCTCTTTTCCTCTTTGTCTCTCCTCCCACCCCCTTTTTTATCAGAGAGAGAGAGAAACACTAGCCAGGATCCATGAACTCCATCTGGATTCCCACATGAATGGCAGGATTCTGAATACTTGAGCCATCATCTGCTGCTTTCCCGGCATTATTAGCAGATCTTGAATGTAGGTCTTGAATCAGGCAGTCCAATATGGGAAAAGTTATTCTAAGCAGAGATTTAAGCCACTGTACTAAATTCTAGGTCCATGGAGAGTCTACATTTTTTTTTTGTTCCTTCGGAAACAATATTAGTGTGTTTAATGCTTATGTGAAAGGCTGTAACATATGCAGACAATGGCCAGGGGCGTACTGGAACTTTCTGGGACCATTTAGTGTTCTAAGTGTACAGGAAAATGTTAGAAAGTTCATAGAACACTCCAGTAATATTAACATAGTGATAGTGCTGAAGCATCAAAGTAATGTTGTAAGCACTGTGATAGATGGTGTATATTTAAAACTTTATTCCATGGGAGTGTAGGTTACTTCTTATTTGATGAATTTGTCAACTGATTGGTATAAAAATGACACATACCCCTGTGGTTTTCTTTTGCAGGCTTTGGCATGGAAGCAACCTTACTCCTGGTTGTTGGCTTCTCCCATACCAAGGGGGTAGCTATCTCCTTTCTGGTGCTTGCTGTAGGATTCAGTGGCTTTGCTATATCAGGTAAAGTGTGCTTTGGGCTTCTGGGTCTTATCTATTGACCAAGCATGTCTTGGGAAGAAGGCAGCACGAGGGAGTTGCAGCACCTTCCTTCAGAGCCACTGCTCAGAGAATTTCCTCTGCAGAGGGTGACTTTGTGAAGATCTGGGATTTTATGGTCCTGCCTTTCTATGTTGAAGGAGAAGACACAAGGACAGGTGGACCCCCGAGGCGCCAGCAGAGACCCAAGCACGTGTCTGCAGCGGGTGACCTTACAGATGCTCCTGGGATCTTCTCAGTCCTCCCCTCCTGTCACTGCTACTGTCAGTGCACATGACCGTGTCATCTGACACACAGTCACAGGGTCAGAAGTTGCTCAAAGTGGAAATCTTTAGATTTTGTTTATTGCATTGCTTTCATTTTCCAGGCAAGGGAAGGAAGGGACAGAGAGCAGATGTGCCTTTCTGCACAGGGCAGATGAGGTAGGAATACAATGGGAAGGCAGGTAACATCCGCCAAGCACAGACACAGCCAGGCAGAATTCAAAGGCCTCTTAAGTGTGTTAAGCTCCATCTTCTTCCCAGCTACCCTAGGAGAGTCAGGGGCATTAAAATTCTGAATTATCAACAATGGAAACTGCTCTACCTCATGTGAGATAGTATAATCCTATCACACAGACTGCAGTGATATAACAGAATGAAAAGGCAAAATCCAGCTTTTCACTCATCTTGAAAACACTGGAAAAATAAAAGTTATCACTTACAGAAGGTACATACATTGGGTATATCTCCCAGCATTGGTAAGTAGTAGGTATTCCTTAGTAATTGATGGCGAATGAAAGACAAAAGCACAACTTGGTCTGACTCCAAGTTTATGTTTTTTCTATTGTTTTAGACTAATTTAAGTATCCACCAGCATAGCAATGTTCTCAAACGGAAAAATATGACAATTCTGGTCTAAATTATCCTAAAATAGGGGCATAAGTCTCACAATGCTTAGTGCTGGTGAATAGTTATATTAGAAAAAGAAGGTCTATTTTCAGAGTAGCTTAATAAAATTTGGATTTAGAAGCACACAGATCAGATTTGAAGCTGCTTTTTGTTATGTATTATCTCTAAAAAAATTGCTTAATTTAGATTCTTCCATCTCAGTTTTTTTTTTTTTCATTCAGATATCAGACACCGTAACAGTAACCTTTAGGGTGGCTGAAGACACCTTGAGGTCGATTATGCCTTTATTCACACGTCCTGTGAGGCAGGCACCATTCTTGTGCCTGGTATTAGCACAATGAGTCAAAGATTCAGATCCAGTTTACATTCTGGTAGAAGTAAGGCATTAAAGCCTTTAACCTAGATCCAATGCATAACAACTCCATGAAGCGCTGGGTGATGCTGTTGCTCCGTGATGATGCACTGCACACAGACACGACCAGGATTGTGTAGGATGCAGACGAATGCTGCTTGAACTCTGCAGTGATGCTGGTTGGCCATCCACACTTCGAATAGCAAGGGGACAGCACTCACAGCTTGCTCCAGGAGGAGGCTGAAGGATACCTTCCCTTGATGCCTCTGTGATGCCAAAGCGGTTGATATCCTGCCTCCAGAGGTTCAGATGTCCCTGGCTTGTTGATCAAGTCACCATCACAAGGAGAGATGCGCAGTACAGACATTGTTTTTGGTTTTTGTTTTGTTTTAAGACACTTATCCCATGCTTACCACGTTTAAAATATGGTATTATTTAATCCCTGATACAAGCCTAGGAGAAGGACACTGCTACATCAGTGTTACTGACAGGAAGCAGAAAGAAGTGACTTAACTTGCCCAAGTATATCAAGTGGTTTGGATTGGACTCAAAGTCTGACCCACTAATAACCCTGTGGGTGGGACTGTGCAGCCAAGGCTGATAGTGGTTCCTCAGGCTTTTCTGCCGACTTTATTACAAATAGATAACAATACAAGAGAAGACTGACACAATACAAACCTATTATAGATGGAAGAGTTGGGACAGGTGAAGTTAAACAGATGCAAGGGCTGAGAGATGCCTGCTGAGGGAAGTGACCTTGTGGAGAGAAGGCAGTCTCTCCCCACTTGCGTGCAGTCATTTTTCATCTGCTACCAAACTCTATTGGTTTTTCAGAGATTTCTCCCAGCCTACCCGCATGCCAGAAGGATGCAGTTAGAAACAAAAAATGGCAGTTCTCACATTATCTGTAGCTGAGGCAGATGCCTGGGCTTTGTACAAGGATATAATACTCAGCAATCATATTAATTGCTTCTTATCTCTGGGTTCTTTTTCTAATAAAGTATTTATCTCATTAAAATCAAGAGAAGATTAATTAATCTTGCAGCTGCTTTATCTTCTGATTATCTGGCATTTTGATTCAAAAGAGAAGGTATGTTTATTAGAAAAATCTTTTCTCCCTAAATGGAAGTAAGGAAAACAGCCATTCAGTGTGCCAGATTAGGAAAAAAAAATGTAAATTCTATTTTCACATCCTTGCATAAAGTAAGCAAAGGGAAACATAAAATGACTGAATCCCAGAGCCCTGTGCTGGGATTGATTAGTGACTAATTAACTGTTTGCTGAGTGACTACATGTGTCAAACTCGTTGCTGGATAAGGCAGTGGTGCACAGGATTGATGCTAACGACCTGTAAAACTTGTGTGTGACTTCCATCTCTATGTCCCGTTAATTAGTCGACTTCCTTTTCACAACACTTTTCTAAGAATCATTACAAGTTATAGATCAGAAACCAAGGTTCACCAAACTTAGATCCTAGTTCAGATTTGTGTCTCAATTGAGCTGCCAGGACCAAGTCTATCCGACTCTCATATGCATCCCTGGGCAACACCTGCCAAGGTGGTGTCCAACCTTCTCTTTACAACTTTGTCCATGCCTACCCTTTACTCCTTCCCCGTGTTCCAAATGTCCTCTCCTGAGAAGTAGATTCAGTGAGCTTTTACAGTCTTTTACATTTTGCCACTTTTGAGAAAAGACTTCAAAGAGAAGGAGATGCTAGGAGCAGCAGTGGTAGGATGGTCGTAGTTAGCAGTGGTAGTAGTTAGGGGTGGTCGCTAATAGGTCTTAACTATTTGCCAACAAGTCTCACATACCTATTTTCCCTGAGTCTCATTTTAATAACTTTGAGTTAAGTAGTAATAGGATTTCCATTTTATGGATTTAGAGGAAATCAAGGCCAAAGGAAAAAAAAAATAAAAGACTGGTTGTCCTAAGTGGAAGTAAGATTTAAGTCCAAATTTACAAGCTTCAAATAGAGTAGGTGTGTGGAAGTGCTTATAAATTACAGAGTTTTGCCAGTTTTAATGTTACATTATTGAACACACCCTTTTCTGTTATATTGCATGATCCCTAAAGCAGGCATATATATATGCTGTATATATATATTCCTGGTAGAGTCTCCATGAGTTATATACTAGTCAGATACACCAAATACCCTGATGACAGGTGGGAGGAGCTAACCATTTTCCAAAGTGTGTTTGCAATTCTAATTCTGTTCTTTACTCTGACTTTGAGGTTTTGGCTTCACTGCAGGTTTTAATGTCAACCACCTGGACATTGCTCCCCGCTATGCCAGCATTCTCATGGGTATTTCAAATGGAGTGGGCACCCTCTCTGGTATGGTCTGTCCCCTCATTGTTGGTGCAATGACCAAGCACAAGGTAATGATTTCCTATGGGATAGTTTCAGGAGATTGAAGTCTTACAGAAACCTGCTATCTGGAGATGCTGCTCAAGCCCTTAAATGTCCTTGACCTTGACTAAGTCAAATGAACTGTTTTTCTCCTCTTCCCTCTCTTTGTGCCTCCTCCTTCTGTGCGTTAATATCCATTGCGTGTTAAGTGTTTTTTTTTTTTTTTTGGGCTCCACATTTTCTCAGCTGAGACATGAAAGCTTAGGAGAGAGAGGTGAAGGCAGTAGAAAGGGTTTGAAGACACAAAGAAGAAACCGAGGCAACTTTGGATTAATTAATTACTCAAGATTGTTTTATAGTTGAAAGTTATCACCCTTTATAGCCTATTTCCATTTATTGCTTAGTGTATTCTAGCATAAAAATATGAGTGCTGTTGTACTTCCCTGTTAAGAATGTAAGGGGCTGGTGCTGTGGTATACCATCAGCATCCCATATGGGTGGCAGTTTGGGTCCCAGTTGCTCTACTTCCAATCCAGCGTCCTGCTAATGGCCTGGGAAAGCCTCAGGAGATGGCCCAAGTGCTTGGGCCCCTGCACATGTGGGAGATCTGAAAGAATCTCCTGGTTTTCGACTGGACCAGTTCCAGCTTTTGCAACCATTTAGGGAATAAACCAGTGGATGGAAGGCTTCCTCTCTTTCTCTCCCAGCTTCTGCAATTCTGCCTCTCAAATAAAAAAAAAAAATCTTAAGGATAACAATACAAAGTTACCCTGCCTAAAATCCTATAAGGAGTGGCATTCAGTCTTTACTGCATCATGTGTTTATACCAGAGTGGGTAGAAATGGAGGTTCCCATGATCCATCCAGCATTCAAGTACAGGCTAAAAACATCCAACATCAGTCACAGAAAATGTTACTTTCTGCGAATGAGAGTTTTTGGACACAACAGATTTCTTTACCCAATTGTTTTCCTAGTTAGTTGTCTGCTACAAATATGGCTACTGAAACTATTGTGTCTTCCTAGAAAAGGAAGGATTAGGCAATTTTTCTTATTTTTTGACAGAAAATAAGATGGGATTTAGAGATTTTATAGAAAGAGGACTTAAATCTTCTCACTTTGTTGCATGAGACAGTAAGGCTGGTAACATGGCTTTGGAAGTCAAGACGCCATCTTCCTTTAAGAACACATTCCCATCATTTCTTTTAACATAGAAAATACAATTGCAAATTGACTATTGAAAGATTAAGGTGTTTTCTTGCTTAAATATTCTGTATCCAACTTCAGGCAAGGAGACCTATAAGATTTAAAACTGGATGACAAAACAAGTTGAAGTTAGCCTACTATGGGAGAGGAAACCCCATTTATAAACTCAGAAGAATTTTTCAGTTGTGCCACAGATGTCCTTACATGTTGTTTATTTTAAACGACAATTTTCAAATGAAAAAAAAAAAGCAAATTTATGGTAGTCTCTAAGTTTCCTATTTATAGTAGTCTTCACTTCTGGTTTTTGAGGACTCATGTCTTGATTCAATCTTGGATACTGCTTCTAACACGTACCTTCTGCAGAAGCAGAGCTCTGCCTTTGGGTGGGCATGTGCTTGTGTCCTGGTGGGACCCCCTGAGATGTGCTGCTAATCACCCGTTTTTGGGAAAACGCTAACGGACCCTTTCTTTTCTTGTTCAGACCCGCGAGGAGTGGCAGAACGTGTTCCTCATAGCAGCCCTGGTGCACTACAGTGGTGTGATCTTCTATGGGGTTTTTGCCTCTGGGGAGAAGCAGGAATGGGCTGACCCAGAGAATCTCTCGGAAGAGAAATGTGGGATCATTGACCAGGATGAATTAGCTGAGGAGACAGAACTCAACCATGAGACTTTCGTGAGTCCCAGAAAGAAGACATCTTACGGAGCCACCAGCCAGAACTGTGAAATCCAGGGAAAGGAGTGGAGGGGTCAAGAGGGAGTGATCCTGGAAGAGGAAGAGTTGGCTTCCTACCAGAATGAAGAGCAAAACTTCTCAGATGCGTCCTAACGTTTGAAGGCTGCTTCCGTCTTCTGCTCACTTTAGGACCTGAAAGTATCCATGGCTATCATCTTCCTCATAGTTGCTCTTGCCAGAGAGCCCAGTATAGGCACACTGGAGGTAGGAGGGTGAGGGCTGAATCAGTAATAGGGAGAAATGTCATCTTGGGACACTCATGAGAGTGAGGTTTGTGCTCAGTTAGTAAAACAGTTGATCACATTTCTTTTTGATTGGCACTTGACCCATCTCTCAAAGGACAACATTTATTCAGGAAGAATAAGGAAGAAAATACCTTGCTGATCAAAGAAAATTGAAGGAAATGGGAATAATTGGCCTGGAAGAGAGTAAACAATATTTGCTGTCCCATATCCAAGGTATAGGGGGAATAGGAGGGCTCCCTATTTGTAACAGACTCTACTCCTGAAGGCCCTGTGTTGTGCCAGGTGCTTCATAAACATGATTTAATCCTCACTACTCTATGGTATCTATTTCTTATCCCCCATTTTAAAATTAAGGAAGATAAACCAGTAAGAGAGTGACTTTTCTTAAGTCCTTCTACCAGTTTCAGTGTTATAGACCCATACAGAGAGCAGTTTTAAACGAGGAAGATCTCAGCTCAGTGTTGGAAAGATGTTTTAATAAAGAAAATGGAAGACAGAATGTGTTATCTTGTGGATAAGCTCCCATTTTTGTCAAGTGTGGAGGCTGAAAAACGTGGGGTTGATGAGGCAGAAATTAGGACTTCAGCATTGTCTGGGAATTGAGCCCAAAGACTCCAGGGTCTTATATTTAGTGAAGAGTTAAATGATTCTGTGAACTCATAGTAAGGGCTGTATACTAAATGAGAGATTCAAAGTGGTTCAAAAACAAAAGCATGAAGCAAGATAGTCAAATTTCTTAAAATTGAGAACCAGAATGGCTGAACAAGGATTTTGGCACTAAATTTCAACTCTATAGTATCAAGAATATGGTTAGTTATCAGCTAAAATTACTCATGAACTGCGAAGACAATAATTAAAAAGATAGGTTTATGTGTTCCAGTTGGTAAAATTATTAATTCTTTCGTTAAAATGTATCTTCGCTCTTTCTGCTGGGTGATGATATTAGGAAGTATGATAAAATTATGCAAAATTATGACTAAGATATTCTTGGGGAGTTTTGCAATGATATTCAGGGAAACCATAATAATACAGTAGCAGTTATACAGGCAATTATTAGAAGGAAAACATCTGGGGCAGCTAGATCCGTTATCAGCATTGGAAGATTCCTCTTTATAAAGGCAATGATATGGATATTCTTTAGAAATATTTTAAAGTGGAATGTTGGCATGTAAAAGGTTATTTGAAAATAAAGTTATTTTCCTGTTCATCGGTTTGGAAATATTTATTTCTGTATTTAAAAAGAAAACCACAATATTGTAGAAAAATATAGAATTGTAGTTTTACCATTATAAAGTGTTTTATTTTCTAGTTTCTTCCATTTATATATTTCTTCTCCCTGTTGTACCAGCGGAATTATAGCATATTTTATAAAATGAAAATCTTAAGAAAAAAGTTCTTATTTGATGATTGGGATATAACTTGCACCATTAGACATCTTTGAAACTCTCTACTGACGGAATCCATACAATATCCTGGAATAGTTTCTGGCATGTAGAAAATGCTTAATAAATAATCCTCATATTCAATGCATTTTATCAAGGTTGGGGAATTTTTAGCTGAAACGAAAGCATGCTATGTCATTTCATCCATTAACCACAGAACTTATTGTAAAAATTGTGCTGCTTTCTAAGTAAACAAAAAATGGAAATGTATGATGACTGGTATTTTGTGTTGTGTTAATAAAGTCAAATAACTATAGTTTTAAAAACTCATGATAATCTTTCAAGTAATTTTAAAGACTGTTACACAAAGTTATATTTATTCTGCACTTACTGTTGGTGATTTTTAGAAATTTTGGCTGTAACTTGTCCTCATAGTATTTTTTAAAAATGGTGCCTAGGATCATGGTGCTGAGAGTGGCAAGAGACCTATGCTTCATGTGATGGACGTTTTAGGCTGCCTTGGACAGACAGGTACATCTGAATGCCAGACAGATGCAGTTTGCAAGTCATTGCCTTTTTCGCTGTACATGGCTATGTGTAGAGCAACCTTTGAGGGCAAAACAAGATTTCCAGCAGGAAGGGAAAGAGGCCTGAGGGTGCTGGATTCTTCAGAAAGGTCTGATGCTCAACAAAGAAAATTTTGGAGATTCATGAATATGCCCCTGTCCCCCAGCAGAAATTGGGAGGTTTATTTTCAGGAAGAAGTAACTCTGGATTCAAGAACATACATTGTAGCTGAATATAAAAATTCTCCAAAGGGACATGTTTTAGTCTATGATAATTACTGATGTAGGTATCTCAAGTACTTAGAACAGCACTGGCATTTTATAATCACCTGATCTTGTCCAGTGAGTGAGCCATGTGAAGTACAGTTTAAAAATATGCAGACTGAACAGTGACCATCTTGGACTGAGTGTCCAGAATTCTGCCAGCCAGGGGCTTGGAGGATTCATGAGGTTAGAAGTAGGGATTCAATGAGAAAAAGTGACAGCAGCCATGAATATCTCAGGATTTCCACATGAAAGAAAAAAAGAAAGAAAGAGAAAAAGAAAGAAAGAAAGGAAAGAAAGAGAGAAAGAAAAAGAGAGAAAGAGAGAGAAAGAAAGAAAGGAAAGAGAAAGAGAGAGAGAAAGAAAGAAAAAGGAAAAAAAGAAAGAAAGAAGAGAAAGAAAGAAAGAGAAAGAGAGAGAGAGAGAAAGAAAGAAAAAGAAAAAAGAAGAAGGAAAGTTCTCTTGACTAATTACTCCTTGTGCAACTCACCTATCATACCCTGCCCATGGGAGTAATTAAATATTCTCATTCTTTTATTTGAATTATTTAGCATCTTTCATAAGCACCTTAACTTTTGAGGTGCTGTTCCAGGGGCAGAAAAACAGTGACCAAAATAAATATTAGGAAGGTAACATCTTAGAGGGAAAAGACACCAAAAAGGTAGAGCTGATGAGTAAATTCAGGAAATAGTATGTCAACAAGTGGTGAACGCTGACAGCACTGGCATAGAACAGGGAGAATGGGAAGGTTGGTGTGCTATGTGAAGTGTTCAGGGAGAAGTGACCATTGGAGGCAGTGTGAAGCAGCAACGCCAGATCAGGGCAAAGGGTTCCAGGCAGAGGAAGAAGCCAAGAACAAAACAAGGACACGCTTGTCATACTGAAAGAACAGCAGTTCCTGGCAAGTGGGCGGATTCTGGGTGTGGCTTCAAAGAAGCAAGATCTGTTGAGAGGGAGAAATTGGCAAGTGAACAAGATTGTTGAGTAGGAATCAGGAGTTTTGCATTTGAGTGTCCTGCTTGCCTATGGATGTCCAAGTGACGGTGTTGGCGACAGTGTTTTTCATTCAGAACAGCAGCTGTCCACTTGTGAGTTAACAACACATCACATCTCTGGTGTTTCTAACCTCGAGGCTGGAGAAGCTGGAGATTCCAGCGAAGAGAAGAAAATGGGTGAGCTCTGAGGACACTCTGGTCTAAGAGGTCAGAAAGAAGAGGAGGAATCAGCCAAAGAGATAGGAGGGGAGGTAGGGAGGCGGGAGAGAGTTCTGGAAAGTGTGGACCCGTGGCCCTGTGAGCGAAGGAAGCATGGTACGGAAGGGACCATCCCTGTGTGCAGCTTCTGCTGGCTCAACTATGTGAAGTCTGAGAATGGACCACTGGGTTCATAGAGATGTGCCAATGTGGCGATGCCCACACAGCCAGGAGCGGAGGGTGTTCATTGTGCCAAGGGATAGTCTTCCCCTCCCCTAGGGACAGACATCCAGGGATCTCAACAATTCCGCAACATTTCCGTCACATAAAGCAGAGCCCAACACAATCGGACAAAAGGTACTCGGAGGAGGCCAAAATTTACTTTAAAAGAAATGTTGCAGACCTGAGACAAAACAAAACAAAACAAACAAACAAAACCCAGAGTTTTACTTTTAAAAAGAGAAGCATCCCCAGAAGAACAAGCTAGGTAGACTTTTGAATCTGGGAGAATAGTCAAGAGTCCTTGATAACAGTTTAGAAGGAGGGCCTGAACCAGCCACAGGGGCAATGAAAAGAAAAAGAGCGCGGTTACAGAAATTTAAAAAAAAAAAAAAATTTTTTTAAAGTAATTTATTCTCCTTGTAGAAAAGTTTTATAATACAGAAAAATGCAATGAAGGAAATCAAAACTCCCTTATTATTTCAGCAGATGTAATTACTCTTAATATTCAAGCAAATAAGCCTCTGATCTTTACAGATATGTGTTTTTTAAAAAGAAATTTGGGATAATTCTGACTATGCAGTTTTTATTTCCTGCTTTTTGTACTTACCTATATACAATAAATTCCTGTTTAAAATATTTCTCAAAAAATGTCATTTAAAAAATTCACTGAAGGCACTGGCACCATGGTGTAGTAGGCTAAGCTTCCACCTTTGGCACTAGCATTCCAGCTGGTCACAGGTTCGAGTCTAGGCTGCACCAGTTATGATCCAGCTCCCTGTTTATGGGCTGGGAAGGCAGCGGAGGATGGTCCATGTCCTTGGACTCCTGCACCCATTGGCTTAGCTCCAGCTGTCGCACCTACTAAGGGAGTAAACCAGTGGATGGAAGATCTTTCTTTTTCCGTCTCTCCTTCTCTCTCTCTAAATCTGCCTTCCAAATAAAATAAGCCTTTAAAAATTCACTGAGATGATTTGTATCCAGTGAAGTGCACAAGTCTTGGTTTTACAGTTTAATCGGTCTCACCTATGTGAATATACACGCATGGTAACCACTATTTGGATTTGTGTTGTTCTGGATTAGTTTTGCCTGTTCTTAAGTTTCATATAAATCAGACAAAATCAACTCTTCTGAATCCTAATTCTAACCCTTGATACATTTAAAAATTGAGTTGTGTTATTGTATTTACCTGTGTTTGTGTTTTACTGGTGTGTATACACATTT